GAGGGTTTTTAACCTTTTGAGAAGCTTGCTTTTGAAATCAACAAGCCTGAGGCTTCCAGGCAAGAAGCTGTGACTAAGTTACCAATTGAGCTCCAGTTTGATGCCTTTTTTGCATCTCCTCTTCCATTGCGAGAAGTGGATCCTTGCAAATGGTGGCGTGACAATTAAGACCGTCTTCCCCTTTTGGCTCAAATGTTCGTGCCACCTATGCTATCCCTGCAACTTCAGCACCTTTAGAAAGGTTTAGAGCTTTTTTACATTTTAAAATTGCTTCCCTTCATCACCCAGAAAATGTGCAAATGCTTGTTTATCTTCAAGCAAACTTGAGGCTGACCAAACTTGATGAGACGTTCGTGAAAAGAGTGGCAAAACTACTGGAAACGTCTGACGAACGTGAAACCCGCCTCGAATTGGTATCAGAAGTCAATTCATCAAATAATGAAGCAAGATTTTCGACAAAATTTTCTATTTTAAATTTTTCATGAGGCAGTGTCATTGCGTTGAACTTTTTAAATTTAAAAATGGAAAAACAAATTTTCTCTACGTAGGCCTATAGAAAAATATAGATATTAGTAATTTTTATGCTAAAAACTATCAAGCTGCAAATAAATGTGCTAAAATTTTTGTCCATTTCTCTTTTTTTTCCTGCAGGAAAAACTTGTACATTCATAACATTTATAATAGACTTGCTTATGTATCTTGTATGTTTTACAAAATGTAATGAAACCGTTTAAAACCGACTAAACTCGACTTAAGCCGCGAGTAACCGCAGTAGTCGTAAAATTAAAAGAAAAATTTGCAGAAAACCGCAAGAGGTCGTAAATATATTGCGAGAATATGCGATAACATGGTTGTCGGAATTTTTCCTCCTTACGCAGATGCCTATATATATATATATATATATATATATATATATATATATATATATATATATATATATATATATATATATATATATATATATATATATATAGTATATATATATATATATATATATATATATATATATATATATATATATATATATATATATATATATATATATATATATATATATATATATATATATATATATATATATATATATATATGGCAAATTCTATTTTTAACTTACATTGCATGTGCAACAACTTTATCAATTATTTGCCTATTTAAACTGTAAATTAAATTTTTGGCTATTTTGTATGAAAGCTGTTAGTCTTAAGAATAAAATAAAAGTTTTGAGTCTGACAAAAAGAGGGCGAACTTATTACTAAAAATGCCACTTAACATAGGTTACACAGAAAGCAAGGTAAAAAAATTGCTTCAACTTTTAGGTCAGATTTCTGTGAATCAGTAAAGTGGTTTGTATTAGAAGCTTACTCAAGATGTTGAGAATTCTATATGAATTTAAAAATTATATGAAAATTCATCATAGACCGGCTAAGGAAAATAAACTTGTTTTTTTGATACTATATGTTTAACTGAGGTTACAGAGCAATTATTATCGTGTATTTTTTATATCTATTATAATTTTATAGAGTTACGTAACAAAAGAAATGTAAAAGTATCGAACAAAGGCAAAAGTAATTAAAAAAGGCAAAAAAAAAAACTGGTGGCACTCTTCCTTTGCGATTTTTCATAACATTTATGAGAGTTATTAAATCAAAAACAGTTTTTTTTTTTCAACAAGACCAAGACCAACTTTTAAAAATTACTTCAGTATCACAACGTCATTAATACTTATTAATGCATTTGATTAAGAAAATCTTTAGTTTGTCAAAATTTTTACTTCTTACGTTATTGCGTATTGCCTTATTTTCATTAGGTTAAATTTTTAAAATGCTGCAAAGTAATGACATTTAAATCTTTTAAATTATTTTTTACATAAAAACTGTTATCACAGTTTAGGAGAGGGGGTTCAGGTATATGTGAAACAAAACTTTATCATGTTTTTATTAACTTTTGTTACATGAAAATTGCAAAAGTTCTTTACTTATTTTCTAGAAATATATATTTTTTATAAAGTATAAAATCTGACCAACAACAATTTGAACTTATTAGCTCCATTTTCACGCTAAATTAATTGGTATTATGCAAATAAATTCTTCTTTTTTTTTTTTATGAGCAGCTGTGGCACAGCAGTAGCGCACTTGCCTTAGCAACAAAGGATCCATAATTCAAACTCGACCTCTGGGCAAGTTTTGCGCCAATGGGGGGCTATAGCTTGCGTCCGCCTCCACACCCATTCAAATCAGTTTACACGGGCAAAATGAAGCCTGTGCAAAATATAAATTTTTGGTAAGAATAAAGTAAAATATATTTATGTTTTTATTTAGGTATTCTTTTAAAAACTTCTGAAATGATGTAATTTTGTAAAACTGTTTCTTTTACTAATTAAAAAACAAAACTATTTTATTCCAGAAATGCTTAAAAAGTTTTGCAAAAAATAATTTTTGAATATTCTGATTTAAAAATAAAAATCAAACAAGTTATTTTAAACAGCTATAACTTTTCCGTATTATTATGTCAAAAGATAAATAATTAGTTTGTTAAAAAGCAGGCAAAAAATGCAAGTGTCGCAAAAAAGTTTAACATAATAGCCTTGGTTTTCAGTATTCTTTGGAAATTTGTAAAATTATACAATAAGAACTGTTAGATAATAAAGGCAATTTCTTTTTTGTATAATCAAATATTTTGCTTAATTGATTGATAAATTAGTTTGTCATACTTTAAAGTTGTTTAAAGTAGTGCATATTTACGTGTATATTTCCGCATTAACTTCCTGGGTTTTTTTGAAAAAGGTGGTAGTTCCTTTAATATGCTTATATATAACTCATTTTTAAAAAATATATCTCATTTTAATCAACAGACTGCTAATCGATTTTTATAGTATAAATTTTATAGAATAAAGTTATCAAGTTATTCAGGTTATCAAGTTATTCAAGTTTTCAAGTTATTCAAATTTTTAAGTTAAAAAGTGTTTCTGTAAAGAAAATGGTATCTTCCAGCAGCAGAGTTACACTAGCAACATATCTGAATTGGGGTAAAGAAGCAACACCTGAATCGAGTGAAAGTGAAGAAACTGCATTCGATTTTGAAATTGAAGATACTTTAAGTTAATTTATAAAATAAATATTTATAAATAAATTATAACTATATATATTCCTTTTGTATGATAAAAATAATACTATATGATTTCTTCATTAAATAAATTTTACCTCAATAAACCTGGTATATAAATAATACTGCATTTAATACCCTTCTAATGGTTCTATTCATAAAAAATTGTAAAAAAGTTTTTTTGTTTTTTTTTTCAATTTATATAACGCTTTTTTTTAAACATGCCTATATTATAGATGTGTATAAATAAAAGTATATATACCAGAATCTTAAAAAATATATTTGTACTAAGTCTCTTAGAAATTAAAAATTAGATTACCTCAAATTTTAACTTACATATCACATCAACATAACATATATTTTCTCCTAATTTCCGAAAAGATTATAAAATCAATTATGAGAAGATAAAAGAGTATGATTTTAAATTGAACAGAAACGATAGTAATAATTCAAACTTTAGTCTAAACATTCCAAAAACAATTGTAAAAGAATAGAATTCTTTGGTTCAAGGTTTATTTTTTAAAAAATTTCAATATAATGATTATATAATATTATAAGCTACAAAGATATAGTGACAAATATTGTCACTATATCTTTTTAGCTTAAATATAACACAGTTAAATTTTTAAAATTTAATTTAATTTACAAAGCACGAGAAAAATGAATCAACTAAAGAAGCGCAATAAAAAATGTTATATTTTATTCCATTAAAAGACATTATATTAATACTCAAATAGATCTTGCAAAATTGCAACGTTCATTGCAAAATTTTTACTATACCTAGCATATAGAATCAACAAAATAAAATTTTAGAATAAAAAAAAATTTCATCAAGACATAATAATTTTAATTTTTCAAAAATGTCTGTGCAAGACTTTCTAGGCGGGCAGCCTGCGTCTAAACCTGTCTTGGCAGTAGTCCGCCAAGAGGGGTTTAGACGGGCTTTTTATAGCTCGTGTACTCACTTACTCCTGTTGAAACCTATACATTATATATATATATACATATATATATATATATATATATATATATATATATATATATATATATATATATATATATATATATATATATATATATATATATATATATATATATATATGTATATATATATATATATATGTATATATATATATATATGTATATATATATATATATATATATATATATATATATATATATATATATATATATATATATATATAGTGCTCGAAGTGGGGATAAAAAAGTAACAGGATAGTAATCGGTCAATTAAAAATACCATCCCTCCTAATCATTGTTATATATAGAGATTTATGAAAAGGTGATGGGATGGTTTGTACTTTATGAACAGGTAACAGGACAACATCCCGTCTCATTTTGAGCACTGTATATATATATATATATATATATATATATATATATATATATATATATATATATATATATATATATATATATATATATATATGTATATATATACACACACACACACACACACACACTACTATAGAAATATTTATTTTTTATAGTAAAGGGTTTATATTAATTATTTGTGGTAAAAAACAACTCTTAACAAAATCAAGTGCACTTTTTATAAAAACCATTAAATTTCATTGAGGTTACTAATTGAATTTTTTTTTTTTTTAAACCACAAAAATGTAACTTTATAAAAAGGTTTTTTTGATAAAATAGAAAAAAAGTCCAAATTTTTTTTTATTTTATTTTTTTACTGTTTACATATATCAACTAACAAATAGGTAGAACATGCGAGGAGTTATGCTACATTGAGGAACAAATGGGCACAATATGACCATGCAAAAAAATATATATATCAATTAGTAAAGTTTGTCATCATTTGAATGCAATTGAATCAAATTGATTATAGATATTTGTACATTTTCTACTATATTTTTTAGGTCAGGCAGACTCTGTTTTAGCATTAATATCAGTTTCAGATAGAAGGCTGCGTCCAAAGAGAACGTATGTTTATTTAGGTTTTAGAATTATTACTTATTTTAATTTTAAATTTTGTAATTTTTTTATTTGTTTTAATTGAACTTGTTTAAATTTAGAAAAATTTACCTTGGTATCACATTGTTACTCTGCCTGGTTTGCATTGTCCTGATAGCTTTTTTTTTTTTCCCACGATCTGTGACTTTATTTATTATTGCTACAAACTCGGTGGACATTTATATGCCAATGGATTTAACAAACATACCACGCATTAAAGTAGAAGTAGGTTAAGTTGTTTATTTTAAACTTGGCTTTTTTATTATATGTAAAATGTCTTGTTTATTTGCTTTGACCTATTTAATTTATGATGGAGAGATTTATGTTTTAGGTAATAAATTAGTTAGCAAATGATAAGAAATAGTTTCTTTAACAAATATTGCAAAACTATTTTACATTCTTTTGAAACTGAATTTTACATGTATTTTTTTATATATATCATTGTCATGAAGGTGGATTTTTATGATAAAACATTTTTTGTGTTGATCACGGCAATCCAATAAATAAAGTTGATCCCAGCACAAAGTTTCATTTACAAAAATAATATTAAAAAAGATTACAATCTTAAAATCACCTGAAATAACTTTATTAATTTAAAAAAGTTACCTGTGTAATGGGTAAAAAAAACTTGCAAACCTTTCATTACTATATCTTACTCTGGTAATGGGTAAGGTAATAATACTCAGAAAGAAATACTAATATATATATATATATATATATATATATATATATATATATATATATATATATATATATATATATATATATATATATATATATATATATATATATTAGAAAATGGTGTATAGATATTAGAAAATGGTGTAGGCTATCTTTTATCTAGTACTTTTCCTAATATAGTGTTGCTTTAATGACAGTTTCTGTAGCCTAAAACCATTTTAATGTTTTACCCTTTTTTGTTTTAACCTAAAACCCTTCAATTTTTTAAATGTGTTCTTAACTAAGCATGCAACCTAAGATCTTAACTAAGCACGCAACCTAAAAAGTTTTTGAAACTCCTTTTGTAACATTAAAGTAAAAACGGTTACATTTTCTAGTCATTTTATTCCTTTAAAACTTAGTTGTTACTTCCTAATAAACACACAACATTTAACAGCCTATCCTAACATAGCAGTAGTAAAATACTTTTTAAAGGGACTCTGTACATGATGTTTTTGATAGCAAGCAATAGGATGTTTAACATCACGAAAAGCTTAAACTTCGTGAAATATTTAAATTACACCAATAAGTAGATCGCAAAGTAAAATATTCTTAAAAACAGCTTCTTTATTCAATAAATTTGGCAGAAAATTAAAATTTGTTTTTTATTTTTGTTAAAGTGACTTATTTTGACATAAAGTGAATTATTTAGGGGTATGCATAGAGAGTATTGGCTGATTTATTCAGCCATCGATGTAGTGAGAATACACACACTGACTGAGTTTTTTGGTTTAGGCAGATTTGATTTAAATTTAATAATGAAAAAAAAAGATATTGTTATCCTTGTGTGTTTAAATTGACACTGTCTTAATTTATTTTGCACACTTTAAGATTAAAAATTCAAAAAAGAAAAACAAAGTTTTTTTTTGTACTTATAAAAGTCCTTTAATATCTAGATTCCTACACAAAACAGAACTTTTAAACTTTCAAGACAAATTTTATGATGCTTATGTTTTCAGATTTTTTTTGCTGTTTTTATCTGTAGTTTTTTATTTTATTATAAGATAGTAGTTTTTATTTTATTTTAATTTAGTTTTTCCTCTGTACTTTTTCTCTTATATTTTCCTTCTTACTTATTTGCTTTTAACCACTATTTTTTTGTCTTACTTTTCTTCTACTAACCGATTGATTAAATTGATTTGAGTTATTAGTTAAAACTTTTTTTTTTTTGGTTGTAATAATAATCTGCTAACCTTATTTACACACACACATACACACACACACACACACACACACACACACACATACACACACACACAAACATACACACACACACAGATATATATATATATATATATATATATATATATATATATATATATATATATATATATATATATATATATATACATACATATACATATACCTATATTTATATACAGCGCTCAAAATAGTTTTTCAAAGCTTCCCGATCAAATGTAATTTTTTCACAAAAACAGGTTATATTCTTTTGAATTTTTCAAAATTCCCCTTAAAATAGCCAATCATTGAAAATTGATTTTTTGAATATTGTTGTTTTGCTTGGCTCCTTTTCCTTTTTATTGTTAAAAATTAAATTGCTAGTTTTATTTATATGTTTTATATTTATATATATATATATACATATGTTATATATATATATGTTTTATATGTGTATATATATATATATATATATATATATATATATTATATATATTTATATATATATGTATATATATATATATATATATATATATTTATATATATATGTATGTATATATATATATATATATATATATATATATATATATATACATAGTTATTTATATAGATGTATATATGTTTTTGTTAGCAAATTTATAAATATGTAAGTAATAGTAATAGGATAGCATAATAAAAGAATATATTATATTCATAGAATTAATATAAGAATTATTATATTCAGCTATTGTTGTAGCAGTAACTATAAACAACGAAGAAAAGATAAACGGCTTGACCAACATAATAAGTGAAATTAATCTCGTCAATTTAAATGTAAGAAGTGATGAAGAAGCAACCCTTTTCAAATGATGAAGAAGCAACCATTTTAAATGATGAAGAAGCGACCCTTTCAATTATAAACAGCCTTGAAATTGGCAAAGAACAAGTTAAAAAAATTACAGAAATTATGAAAAAATCTTAAAGCAATTAAACATATACCAATACAAATATGATAGAAGTTGAATTTTACTCAGCAAAAACAGTTATCACTACTTTAGAAAAAGCAAAAATTCTAAAAAATTACTCACCAAGAATTTTTATAAACAAAGATTTAACAGAAAACAAAAGAATACATGACAAAAACACTTGAAATCAATATAAAGTTTAGACATGTCTTTGTTGCAAATCATGAAAATAAAAATACTACTATGGCATAAGGGATAAACTATTGAAAAAAATATATATTAAAGAATGACTTTTTGTGCTGGCATATAATTATTCAAATCAGTTTAACAATAACAATACAAATCCAACTAATTATACCAATAAACTAAATGATCTTTTATTTATTCAACATGAAACCTTAGATGCAAATGAAGTGACTTCAGTAAATAATGTCTTTAAGAATAAAAGCAACTTTTCCATAGTTTACAACTTAGATAACTTTATTCTCTCTTTTGATTTCTCAAAGAAAAAAATGTTATTGGTTTTACATTTAAATATAAACTCATTCAAGTCGTAAAACATCACAGAAATCAAACCAATATTAGATTTAAATTTGATAGGCATAATAACACTTAATGAAACCAAGCTTAATGCTACATATATAATTAAAGAATTTTTTTCAAATAATTATGAGACTCTGCATAAAGACAGAAGAGACAGCATTAAGGAAGTTGGCATTCTCGTCTAAATAAAAAACAAAAGTTTTTATGTAGATGAGAATGCCACCTCCATACTAATTCTCAATGCTTTAACAACTATGTAGAAAGCTTATTATTAAATCTCAACCAAAATATATTTATATTTGGTGATCTAAATCAAGGCCTCAGCTCCAAATATGGAATGCAACTGAGTAAGTTTCTTACTAATAACAACTTAAAAAATAATGTCTATAAACCAACTAGAGTTACAACTATATTTAATAAAAAAGACAATAAATACAAAACATCTAAAAGTATGATGTTTTATTAAGTAAAAGTTTATCAAAAATAAAAACTTTTGTCTTAGAAACTTTGTTTAGTGATCATTCTGTAATTTTAGCAGCAATTGATGGTATCACTGAAGTAGTCAATTACTCAAAAACAGTCAAAAGTAGGCTACTAAGTAATAAAAAGATAACAATCATATCCAACGCAATCAATTAAACTAACATACAGTTCAAAATAAATGACAACTCAACCAACATGTGGAACTACTTTTAACTCAACATTATAAGGATCTTAAATGCCATTTCACCAAAAAAGATGATGAAAATACACATCAAGAATAAAGACATCATGGTTTGATCAAAAGTTGAAAGGTCTGCGCAGCGATTATTATTTTGATTATGTAAAAACAAATAATTTATCAATTTTTCAAATGTTTAAAAAAATGAGAAGAAATTTTATTAAACTAAGAAACAAAAAATTAAATAGTTATTTGAAAAAAAAAGAAAATTTTTAATAATTCAAAAGATTTTTACGGTTTTTACTAAAAGTTCGACAAAATTAAATCGAGCTTTGAGGATACTCCCTTTCTTGATTATATATTTTACAACAAGAAGGCTCACTCAAATGTTGAAAAGTCAACAAATTCTTTAGTACATTGAAATCTAACTCCGATAGTGTACTTAATGATTCTTATAACTTTAGTAACAATTATTTCAATAATGTTAAAATACCTAATAAGATTAAATTAAAATATATTATAAATATTAATAAATATGAGATCCTATTAATAAATATGAAATTGTTGATGCAATTAAAAACTTAAAAGAAAAAAACAGCTGTGGTTATTCAGATATTTCAATAAAAAATTATTAAAAAATCATATGATTCAATCACTGATCCATTAATAACTATATTTAACAAATGTCTAGAAACAGGCACTATTCCAAATGAATTTAAAATAGATAGTATTATGCCACTTTATATACAAAAAGGTAAAATTTGTGATATCAATAGTTATCGAAGTATTACTATGATATCCCCACTAACAAGTGTTAGAACAAATAATTGCTTAAAGAGTAACTGCATACTTTGAACAAAATGATTTATTCAATGATGACCAACACATTATCAGATGCAATCAGATGAAACTGAGTTGCATGTTATTATCTTTAAAGTTAAGCAACTCAAAAAAACTCTTTACATTAATAATATTTATTAATTTCAGAAAAGCTTTTGACTTAGTAGATTCCAAATTAGCAACATCAACTTAATCATAGCTCATACAATTATCAACAACATGCTTGATGCCAATATAAACAGAATAAATAACTTTTATGTAAGTAAAAAAATTAGAAAAAAAGAAAGAGTGGCATTTTTTAACATCATTTATTTTGTACTACTACTTGTATCTTATATTAAAAACACCTCTATTCACCAGCAATGGTAAAAAATATAGTCCATAGAATAAGAAGTTAAGAAATAAATATAAAAATTGGTAAAAATAAAAATTCTTGCGGTTGCAAGATAATAAATTAAAGTTTTTTATTATAAATATTTCTTTTATCGCTTCTTTTTTTATGTTTCGTTTAATAACTTTGTATACAAAATAAATTTGTTGTTAACTATAAACAAATTTTTTTTGTTGTTGTTATACATTTCTATAAAAAGCCTAATAAAAGTTAAAATTTATTTGTTTTCAATTTTATCTAATTTTTTTTTCACTTGTAAATGACATATGTCCCACATAATTGTCATTTAAATTTTTGTAACAATCTTTTTTAGATAATCGTCACTCATAAGTTAAAGTTTTTTTTTTTTTATAAATAATTATTTATTCTTTATCTTGATAGTTAGAGACTAATTTTAAATTTGATAAATAATAAACGGTTGCCTTCTGAAATCACTTCAGGCACACATAAATAGCTTAATGCATACTGGCCTTGTTAAGACACATTACACAGCTTGCATATTCATATGAATTAGCAGTTTATAAATGCGTTTAGCGGTTTTATTTTTGCAAAAATAAAATTTTTTCTGAATATTTAAATTATCTTTTAATATCATTTTAAAAAAATCATATTACATTGTAAAAAAAAGCATTTAACTGCAACTGTAAATTTTTTTGTTAGAGTAACTAATTATTTTATAAAAAAGAAAAAATTTATTTAAAAGTCGTTAAATTAAATACGATTTTAAAAATTTAAATTTAGTTTTTAAGGAATGTAAAATAGTTATTAATATAATATCATAGTAAAAGTAGTACACTGTAATAGTAAAATAGTAAAACAGAATGTAAAATTTATTTTCAAAGGTATGTAAAATAGTTTTGTAATATTTATTTAAACAGTAATTTTTCCTATATTAGTTTAAATAATTTTTAAGGCGGTAAAAAATTAAATTTAATTACAATGCTTAAGCCTTCCCCGGAAGGGCGTGCGGTCGCACATTTTGTTTGTCCACGTTTAAAATAATTTTTCTAGACACACTAACCACAGCAGTTCACATTTTTTAATATGCTAAGCGTTTCAATAATTCACTGCCAAAAGCTAAACTTATCTTCTAAAAAAAAAATGTGTTGTAACAAAATATCATGTTTAATTAAATAAACTAGAAAATTTAGTAATAAAAAAAAGAAAATTGAAAAAAAAAAAATTTTTATAAAGTTTTTATATCTTTTTTTTTTTTTAGAGTGGTTGCTGTTTTTAGCTACTGAATTTTATACAATTTGATGAAAAATACATATTATTTTTTTTATAACAATTTAACAATTGAAGTTTTTATGTGCAATTTATTCACAATTTTTATCAGCCTGTATAATTAAGAAACTAATTTGCTACGTATGCTAGAACTATGAGAATTTTTGTTAATTTTTTTTTACATATATTCGTTTTAATATTGTTTCACTTTTTAAAATGTTTTCACTATATTTGACAATTTTCCTTAATACATATGTAATAGGAAAATAAAAAAAAGTTAATTGCTACTTATTTGTAAAAATATTATTTGATTGATAAATTTTCCAATGATGCAATAAATTAAATAAAAGAATAACATAGTTTCTTTTATAAATGTGTTTGCCGGATTTGATGCATGTCTGAAATTGTTTTTCATATATTGCCCAATTTCTAACATTAATACAAATTACTAGAGGTAATAAACATAACAATGGCTCTGTTTGAAAAAATGTATTTAAAAACTTTAGAAAAAAGTTTTAAATAGGCTCCTAAAATTTTTGTTCAAAAGTTCAGAAAATTAACAATGCACTAGCCTACACGCTTTTGGAGCATCGTCAATAACAATAGTTCATCAGGAAATAAATATCGGGTTTAAATACACAATTTGGATAATCTAACTAAAGTGCAGACTATTTTAATGGGGGTAATGAAAAAAAACAATTATTTTATAATAAAATATTAAAATTAATGACTTTTTATTTTATTACATAAAAAACTTGTTTTTAAAAAAAAAAAAATTGCAAATAAATAATTATTAGTTTTCTCGCTTTCCTGTGCATTGATAGAAACACTAAAGTTTAGTTAGTTTAAAAACATTTTAAAAACAAATTTAAAAATAGTCAGTGTTTCTAGCGCAAGTTATAAAGTATTTTCTTAATATACTGATGGTAAGTCACGAAAAATTGTGTTTCAAAAAATGTTTTTATTTTCATTGTATTCTAATCTGCTTTTTTCCTCGACTTGTATCAATTTTGGTATGGAAAATAACAAATGCCCTTAAAAAAAAAGAAAACAAAAACTGTAAAATATTTAGGTATATTATTTTTTTCACAAAATTTTCAATTTTTTATTAGTTTATTTCGTCTAGAATTTCAATTTCGTGTAGTCTCAGGGGCTATTCTAGACTGTTTTCGACAGCGTTGACTGGATTTGGGCGCCCCCCCCCCCCCCCCCAAATCGAAATTTGAGGACTTTTTTTTTCTTTTTTTTAACTTTTGCGAAAAAACACCAATTTTTTCGCTTTATTTTTCCGGGACAGGGGGGAGATACTGCCGTCCAAATTTATTTCCTAGAATAGCCCCTGAGTATTTTTTCTTTTCTTTGAGTAATGCTGTTACATTCTTTGTAGTTTCTTATAGCTTTATTTTGCCGCAAGTTCTTAAAACCTTCACTTTATAAAAATGTAGTCGAGTTGTCTAAAAAAATTACTTTAGGCATGGACAAATATGGCGTGCGACCACATGCGCTTCTTGGGAAGACTTGATGCTGTACTTTAAAATATGCTACTGACACTGTTTAAATTTTAACAATGTAAACATCAAAGCTGTGTTAACCCTTTGACTGCGGCAAGTCACAATCGTGGCTCGCCGGACTTCAATGAAAAAAGAAAATAACAAACAGCCTAAAAAAAATTATTTATACAATGAGGGCTTAAATTTTAACTGCGTTAAAAATCATTTAAACTAATATAAATAAATATTACAAAAGCAAGCCACAATTGTGGCTTTTAAAACTGATCTTTAAAATTATGACCTTTATTCCAAAAAATTATTGCTTTTCTAAATATCATTTATTATTTATACAATGAGCCCTTAAATCTTTTGTTTATAAATTATGTAGATGTTATAAAATGAAAAATGACATACAAATCTTAAATAAAAAATTTACATTATTGGTTTTTTTTAGTTGAATTTTTCTAATTATCATTTAATTTTATCAAGCAGCCAAAGGGCTAAGTTACATTTATTAGGGTTAAATGTTTTTGTTATTTAATTTAAAAATCTTAAGGCCTTTATGTATGATGTATGTAAATGTGTTTATGTAAATATATTTACTATACATTTTTCTTAATGCTTTATAAGGTAACATATCAGTTGGATAACCAAAATTACTTTCAAGTTCATATAAAAAACTTTTATCTTGATATTTATTGGAACAAGTACATTCTCAACACTTCAACAGATGTTGTTGATATGGTTATTCCTCCAAGATTTACTAAAAAGGTATCTATAATAATCAGTTTTTTTAAAATATTTAGCTATTGTTAAATGTTGATTTTTAGTTTAAAAATTATAGGGATAAAATAAAAATTATATTAAAGGGATCCCTAACTGCCGAGACAAGTTTTGTTCATATTAAAGAAAATGTTTAAAAAAACATTTGGGCCTAATTTTTTTGATTAAAACTATATAATGAATGCACACCATTAAATTTAAAATTCATGTTTTAGTCAAAGCCTGCCGTCTCCATTTTTTTTTGGTTCTCGGAGTCTGTATAATGTTAGCCGCAATCTGCAGACTTGATAATTTATTCTATGCGTGTTTAATTCATAACAGTTTAGGTATATGATGTCATCGTATAAACTTTTTATTTCAAGATGTTGTATTTTTTTTTTTTTTTTTTTGCCACAATCACCAAATCATGTTAATTGTATAACTTTTTACTAAATCCCCAAAAAAAGTTTTTGATGAAATTAAGAATTAAATTTATAAAATTAATAAAAATAAAAATTTAATATATAACAAATATTCACAGTAAAACGTACTGGTTTAAACTAAATATATACTAGATACTAAAAGAATAATTTTACTAAAGCGTATAAGTTAATTTAAAATATAAACTGAATGAAAAACGAGTGACTTGAATAAAACATATAAACTGGACTAAGTAGAAAATAAATATTAAACAAATTATTTTACTAATAACCGTTCGAATCAAATTAAGTTTAAGTTAAAACAAATATTTGCATTAAGATATACAAAAAATAGTTATAATATAAATATAAAAACAAAGAATTGCTTTAAATTATTCGCTACCAGCTGAACAAAAATCTTTTTGTAGCAACTGCACATTTTCTTGAAAATAATTTGGTAATTACTTAACTAAATTCTTAACATTTCTTAGAAGTGTTAAGTCTTTATTTGTTTGTTCTATAGGTTTAATTAATTCTCTACCATAGATGAGTTTTTTCCGGAAATTCCCGTAATTCCGGAAATTCATTCAAAACACCTTTAATTTTTCCAGAAATTTCCGGATGTTTTTAGATATTTATTTGAAAAAAAATAAATATATTTTTACAAAAAATTTTACATACAACAACTTTTGCATTTAAACAAATAAGTTTTCTATAATTAAAATTTTCACGAGATATTAGAAATTCCTTTTTATAAAAAGTTAAATAATCTAAATTCCGTTTTAAAATAATCTAATTTCCGTTTGTCAGTTAAATGCGATCAATCTTTATTAAAATAATTTCTGGAATTTTCCGGAATTATCATAGAAAAAAAATTTCCGGGATCTTCAGAAAGTCAAATACTCATCTATGCTCTACATAATCAAGAAAAAATAAAAGCTATATTGTGTAATTATAAAAAAGTTATCACATAGTTAAAAAATCTTGAACAATCCTTCTTAAAAAAAACTTTAAATTTAGTTATAAAATAAAACAGTGTTATTTATTTGTTTATTTGAGTTTGTCATGCTATATTTTTCTATACAATGTTTTTATATCCGAAGATATTGTTGGCTTAGCATAGGAACAGTCACAAATAGTCATTAAGACTAATCCAAAGTAGCGTTTGTTATTGACCAACATTTTTGCATACCGAAGTACTACTCAAGCACTGAGTTAGCAGTGGCGGGATTTGAACTCCTATCATTCAACAGTCCGGGTTTTAAATTTTCCTTTTACGCTCTAACCATCTGAGCTATCCCATGTTAACACTGTAAAACTTAACTTGTAGGCTACAAGTTAAGTTTTACGGTGTTATTGCTGTTTTATTTTAAAACTAAATTTGACGTTTTTTTTAAGAAGGGTTATTCAAGATATTTTAACTTTGTGATAACTTTTTTATAATTACACAATATAGCTCTATGTGTCTAGAATCAAAATTTATGTACAAAAAAGGATAAATTGTAAAGCATACTCAAAAACCACTACCAGTGGCTTGCAGTAGTGAAAGAGTTAAACCATAATCAAATGTAAATTAAACATAAAACGAACAACTCTATTAAACCATATGAACTAAATATAAAATGAGAAACTGCATTGAACTGCCTTTATTTTTTCTCTGCCTGCAAACTCTAATTTTTTGATAAATCACAATATTTTTTGTGATTTAGTAATAAATTATACAAATATTTTTTTTTTAACATCTTTGCTTCCAACAAGGCTGCAAGCAACCACTAATTAGTGTTGGAAGTTACTGGAAGAGAAAAGATGAAGATTGTAGAGCAAGATAACGATTGACAGACGACTTAAAAGATTGCAAATTATATGAATCAGGAAAGCAAGATGAAGGAAGCGAATTCCGAAGAACTGATGTTCGAGGAAAAAAACTAGACGAATAAGAGTTTTTATAGCACTTAGGAACAGTTACAGAAAAAGGATAAGACTTAATTGAATGACGAGTAACACGAGAATGAATTTTAGTAGATGGCACAAGAGACGCTAGCAGTGCCCATTATAGTATTTGTAGAAAAGAGAAAGAGAAGCAACATTACGACAATGTGACAGAGGTTGAAGGTTGGCTGCAAGAGCAGGTCCAACTATTTTTACAATGCGTTTTTGCACCTTGTCTAAAAGAGAAAGGGCATCATTAGAAGATCCACCCCAGATATGGCAACAGTATTCCATACAAGGCCGGATTTGAGATTTATAGAGATAGAGAATAGAATCCAGAGTAAGAAAGTGACGAGCTCGATAAAGAGAAGCAACTTTAGCAGATGCTAATTTTGCAACGGATTTGATATAAGGTTTCCAAAAACGATCAGAAGTAACAGTTAATCCTAGAAGATGAAAGGTAAGAGATTCATTGAGTACATTACCGTTCATAAATATAGGAAGGTCTAAATTATTGCAATAACGATTGTCTTAAAAAAATTGAGTTTTATCTGAATTAAAGTTTACCAGCCACTCTGAGCCCCATGCTGTAGCAGAAGTGAGATCCTTTTCAAATTCAGATACCTCCTGCAAGCAATCAGAGGGAGTTGGCTTCTTATCGTGACAAGAAAAAATGGTAGTATCATCAGCGAACAATGCCACCTTAGATGTGAGAATATCTGGAAGATCGTTAATGTAAATTAAAAAGAGTATAGGGCCAAGGATTGAACCTTGGGGAACCCCTGAGGTTACAGAATAAGAAGAAGAGTGCTGTCCAAGGACAACTTTTATACTACGATTGGAAAGGAAGGATTCAATAATCTTAAAGATGTTTCCAGATACACCGTAAGAAGAAAGCTTATGGAGAAGACCAGCATGCCAAACTTTATCAAACGCTTTAGAAATGTCAAGAGCGATGGCCTTAACCTCTCCACCTTTATCTAATGGGCGATAAAACCTATTGGTTATTACTGATAGCAAATCAACCGTAGAACGAGAAGATCGAAATCCATATTGATGATCAGAAAGTAGGTTATGAGATTCGAGATGAGAGATTAAGTGTTTGTTTCAAAAACCTTGCTTATGATAGGAAAAAGACTAATGGGACGGTAGTTATATGAATCGGATCGCTCTCCAGAATTTTTAAAAATAGGGATATCAGATGCTGTTTTCCAGCAGGCTGGAAAACAAGACTCTGATAAGTACTTGTTAAATAGTTTTGAAAGGATAGACGACAGCTCCGGAGAACACTTTTGCAAGACTATAACAGGTATGTTGTCCGGGCCGCAAGCTGTAGAAGAGTCTAAGCAGGAAATCACTTTAGATACAGA